TAGTGTGTATTGCTGTCTTTTGCATGACTTGGAACTAATTGGAGAATTTCTTAGTGGTCTCTTCGTAGAGAGATAGAAAACAGGAAATACTTGAGTAAGCTTGAAAATGTTACAAAGATTGTTCTTATTTCTCATTGGCTGTTGAAGTCTGCTTTCATTCAGCACTTTTAAAAAATCCATTTTATTTTGCAGCTCTTGAAGTGTCAGGGAATAGTTGGCAAAAGCACACTGTCAACTTCTATTTGCATTCATTGTGTACTTACTGTTACTTTAATATTTCATTGCTGCTAATTTGATATTGAAATATTTTGGATTCCTATTAACCACTACTGTATATAGATGGAATCCTGAAATCAGTGGGACATATAGCAGTGTTGTAAAAGTGCCCTCAGCAGAACTTACCTTACTCATCCTCTGACTTCTCAACACAGACATGTTCTCTTAACTAATGATGATAGAGTGCTTAGGAAAGTTAAAACATCTGTGTGTCTAACTTTGCTTGTCACAGGCTGTATCAGCTCCTGGAAGGAGGAAGTAAAAAACAACAATTGTTTAAAACATACAAAAACCTGGAGCAGATGGCTCAGAAGTTGAAGCAGGACTGTGCTGCAGTGGAAGATCAGCTGGCAGCATCTGCCCAGGAGCAGTCTCTCCTGGTGTCCAGGCTGGAAGGGGATGTGGACGCCCTTCGTGCTGCTCTCTATTGTGGAACAAATCGGATCCAGCTCCGCAGTCCAGTGAGCCCTTCATGATTTTTTTTCAAATTCCTGCATTGTGTGCCATGTTCTTTTACTGATAAAAGTATAGTGTGAAGGCTCTAGACATGCAAACCGTCCCCACTAATTAGCAACAAATTTATTAACGTGATGATGACGGATGCTGAACATTTACATTGTTCTTGGCTAATGCTGGATTTTGTAAATGTTGGCAGCTGATAATTTTTTTGGTTTTGAGCAAACTTGAATTTAACTGAATTTCTTTCAAAGGCATGTGCAGTCCTGTATTCCTGTAAGCTTGTGGTGTGGGAGATCCTTTGTCTGGGTAGGGTGTCACTGGAAAACTCATTTAAGTTGCTCTTCTTTAAATATGGGCTTTCTCCCCTGTTACCTCTAAGACCCCAGTAGTACAGTTTGGCCCCTTAAAAGCCTGGCCATGGGTGGATCATTTGTACAAAATAAAAATACCAGAATTTTGAAGGACAGTTGTAGTAGGACAATCCTGCTACATAGCTCTCAGGTATTTCTTTTAAATGGGAACAGGGTTTGTTAAATGCATCTTGTTATGGTTTTTAAATCATTGTAGATACCTCAAAAATGCATCAAGGGAAATTTTGTGTTACGTAATACTTCCTTGGTTAATTACATAAAAATATATTTAACATTCATCTGTCAGATGAATTTACAGCATATAGAACAGTTTTTAAAAATGAGACTGTAATTGGAACAGTAGGTATTTAGGGATTGCATTTTTTAAATCAAGTACCTTCCTATTGATTTAAGTTACTTCTTAAAATATGACATCTTTTCTACTGCTACTGTTTCTCAAGAAAAGTAATTCCTTTAATAAGGGAATAATGTGCAAGTAAATGATTAGTCTGCTTATACTGAACTATCACAAGAATGCCAGCTGGGAAAACTGTAGCTGGTATTTAATTATTTAATTGTAAAATTGACTTGGCTTTTTGTTGTGCTTTTTTTCTGCTTGTTTGTTCCCTTTTAAGGTTTGACTAGCAATGAAGACTTGTAATTGATGGAATATGTAATTCATTCATATCTCTAGGTCAGGTTCAGATTCTTATGGTCTTAACTCATCTGGTCAATGAGTATATGAAATTACATTGGCATAATACAGGATGAGTTCTGTTACATGGAGCTCAAAAATTACATACATTGAATGGAATCCCTTATTGTCTTTGTTTGGTTTTTTGTGATTACTTTTTGATTACAAACAAATGGCTTCCCAAAGCAAAAAACCTTTCATATTTCTAGTTCAGCTAATATATTAACAATAGAAAAATAATAATTTTTTGTCTTTTATTTTTTGTTAGGAACTTACTGAGCAGTTTCACCAACTGGAAGTGGATTTAGGTGTACTAAATAATCTCCTTAAGGATCTGGTTGCTGATCTGAAGTCGAAGAGAAGCTTTTTAGAGTCCAATAGGCTGCTTCAGATGGAAAGACAATTGTATGTGTATTTTTTCAAAGATGAAGAGCAGTTGAAAGAGATGGTGGAGAAGCTTGAACAGCAGTCTCAGGCTAAAGCCAGTGGTCTGGAAGACAAGAATTGCACAACCAGTGGAGTTCTTAATGTCTAAACAGCAATGCACTCTTAAGAAAATGTTAATGTAAACTGTCTATGAGTTTATGGAGTAATAAGCATTAGCTTGTCAAGGCTGACACTTAGCTGTCACTGCAGTGAATCTTATCTGCCACTGTTACCAGCTGAGATTGTGTGCTGCTTTATGGCTTCTTCTGCCTGCTGAATTCAATCTCAGTTTTGTCAGAACTCTTGGATATGAAGTAATTGTTGGTTATTTGAGAGATGATGTTCAGGCTGCTCTTCTGCTGGCCCGTGTGTTCATTGCTGCTGCACACAGCATGGCTTCAATAGGAACGTGTCACACCCTTCAGTTAAGTCTTTTTGCATGCTAAGAACTTTTTGAACTGCAAAATAAATGTGGAGAAGGTATTCCAGATTTTGGAACAAGGATGTAATGTACTCATAGTGAAGAGGAGAGATCTCAAAGGCAGCAGATACTCCATGATTGTTTCCCTTAAAGTTCTTCCAAGAAGACTTGATTTTGTTAGAAATGTGTTGGAATATGTACCAGAATCTGTTTTAACTACCAAGACCATCTGTTTTAAGACCATTCCTCTATCTCTTAATTTAACTTAGGGCCTATCTTCTCCACTGAAACCAGTCTATACTTATTGTGGCTTGTCAATGAACAAGAATTTTAAATATCTTTTGTACTTCTGAATTTTCCTTATAATTTGTAATGATAGGCATTTCAATTCAGAGTGCTGATGCTTTCATACTTGTGCTTTCATGTGCATTGTTAGCCCATTTATCAAATTTTTATATAGCTTCCTAATACACCAATGGAACCAAATGGGCTTTTATAGTATGATAACTTCCAGTCTTTTCTATTTTGATGGAATCAGCTGTGCTTGCTTTCAAGCACTGTACATATTGATGAAGGTTAGTATATTCTTTTAAATTCAGTAACAGTAGTCTTAAAACTATTTTGATGGCACACTTTTAACTTCTATGTGATTTTTTTAACTTATTTCAAAATGTGTAATTTTTTTTTTAGCATACTGGTTGGGTGTCTTTATGTCTGGATTTCATGCTGCTTAACTCTGTATTTTGTGTATCTTATTAAATACCAAACTCTTATCAATCCAGTTCAGTGTGGTTAATATTTGTGGCGAATCTGTTCTTTTTTCCAGGCCTGTTCTCAGGCACGGTGTCTTCTTTGTATTTAGTCTGATGGGTTCTCATTTTGATCTGCCCCTGGGGCTGTGGCTGCTGCTTCCCAGCCTGAGAAGTCAGGGAGCACTTTTTTACCCTGAGTAGGAAAGAAGTGTTGCGCTTAGGCATAGAAGTTAGGAGTTGAGTGCAGGGAAGGATTGTGCTTCTGACTCCTGGAATGTCAGGGAAAAGAAAGCCATTCCACCTCTCACCCTTTCCTTCACATGCTTGCTAATTGGAACTAGATGGATATAGCCAGTGCTAATGCAGAGTGATGGGTGTTCCTCTGAATTAGATGCAAATATTTGCACTTTTAGGTATTAAAAGTTGCAATGTACCTGTGGTCTTGAGCCAAGAAAAATATTTCTGTGTAGGCAGAGGAACTTTTTTTTTTGCTGATGGTTAAATTTGACAGTCTGCTCATGCACTGGATCTGGTGGGAGATGACCAGAGTAACAGCACTCCAGCTACCCACTTGTATGGGAATAATTGAGCCAACAGCAGGTTTTGGTAGAGTGATTGGTTTGCACAGCTTGGATCCTTGAAGTATTTTTTAAAATGTTGGATATTTCTCTCGTGTTTGTGTCAAGTTTTACATGTTCTGGTCTAACTGTTAAACAACAACAAGTTATCAGTGTGGACCCTGTTCCTTGTGATTCTCCAGAGTGTGTGATACCTAGGGATTCTCCCAAGCATTTTGTAGGTATTACAGAAGATGGACAGGTCAGCTGGAAAACCAGCTCCTTTTCAGAGAAAGAACATTTACAACAACAGTAGCTGGGGTCAAAGCTTGTAGAGTCTATAAATATTGCTGCCCAGTTTCTTAAATTGACAAGCTATAGTAGCTATTTTAAAGTTACCAATATATAGCTATATATATTTGATATATATTTAATATATATTTGAATGCATCAATTATACAAAATTTAAGAAAGTAGAGGTCTTTTATGATAATTATTTTCTGAAACAGCATCTAACTAATGGCTGTATATTGTGATAGTATTGCTTGTTTCTTTAATCCTGTGTTGCCTTAATTTTGGCAATTACTTGAAAGTTTATTATGTCTTCCCTGATAAAATCCAAGCACTAGTAACAGTAACTGTATGTACATGTTAGATGCAGACTAGTTTAAAGATGCTGGGAGGGGGAAAATAATCTGAGCCATACATACTTCTTGTTTTATTTGTCAAATTTTGTTTTCTTTTAGTACAAGTTATCTGCACTTAGGACTGCTGGTTTTTTAATTGGTGTATTAAAACTCTATTTCAAAGAAGTTTGTTTTTATAAATTATTACATCTTTATTTCCAATACAGTACTGATAGGCATGTCTGGGAGCAAATGTAATTTTCCATTGAGAATGAATGGCTAAACACGTTCACTATATGTTGTCTTTAATTTCAACAGCATATAAGTGAGGATTACTCATGGCCCTGATTAATTCATAATTTGTGTTCTGTGTTTAGGTTTAACCTTAGAAATGGAGTGGTACATAGGAAGAGAGATTTCTAAAGTGCCTTTATCTAATATTGCTCAGAGGATTATGACAGCTTTGCAGTCTATTCCTGTAGAAGCTCAGACTAACAGAGAAAATAACCAGAGTGAGTAAAACGTAGCCTGTTTGTGTTTTTCTCTTGAAAAATTGAAACACAATATCAAACTTCTAGTCTCTGTTTTTAAGTAGAGGAAAAAGAAAAGGTGAGACTTCAGGTTTCCAGGTTTAGAAAAGGAATTAAACTGTTACTGTGACATTTACTGGGACTTTTCCAATTCAATAATGTTATGTGAGTGCAAGGAATGGTACCAACAATTTAATTTTTTCTCTTTCTGTTCCTGCTGTGTGATACAGAATTATATGGGAATTTCAAACTGTTCCTTAAGTACTACAGTGTTGTAAATTAGATGCATACATTAACTTGACTCTGGATCAGATATTTAAAGATCACTGGAGGTACTAGCAACTTAACAGGAAACCTGTGAGCTCTCCAGACTCATGTCTGTTCTTAAAACACATACTCATTAGCAGTGTGCTCCTTGTGAAATTCTAGGAGGAAGAGTGAACAGAAGTCCCAGTGAAAGACCAAATTAGGTGATCTTACAAGTGCCTCAGCAGATCTAGAACATTGTGGACACTGGGGAGGTGCAGGTTTTATTCTCAGTTCTGTGCAAGTCACAGTCAGTCAAACTGTGGCTCTGGAAAGAAGGAGGAAGTTAAGAGTTTTGCTTAATTTCAGTTGTCTGTTTTCTCCTGAAAACTAGATGCTGGAATATTATCTGATCAATGGGTTTTAAATCTAACATTTATTCCTGTGTACAGCGTGGTTTTTGCAGCCACTGTTGTATATTAATAATGGTTCAGGCTCCTCTTTCAGTAGAGTATTCAGTAGGATCAGTGGAGCCTGGTGGTGTAGCAGTGACAAAGGTTCATCTGTATCAGTATCACTGTGTAAATCAGTGATACACGTTTAAAGAAATGTGGGATGAGTTAATTTTAAAATGTTACATTGTATATGGTACATCTGGGACCAAAACCCAGATGATTTTAAAGAGAATTCTGTTTCTTTTTAGCCTCACTTTGATATTTTACTTCTCTTGCTACTTTGTCATTGCCTGTACATATATATACACATATAGCTTTAGTGTGTGAAAAGAAGGAGAACTTTACCTCTCTTAAAAAACCAAAACCAACTGCAAACCTCTGATGTTAGTTGGTCTGTTTCAGACTGCATTGAACTGTATTTTATAGATAGATTTTTAAATTTTTAATTCTACTTAATGGAAAAATGTTTTGTCTTTAGAAGGTAAATATTGGGCTCAAATAGAACAAATATCTGCAGTGTTGACCTAGTTGGTGAAATTCTGTGGTTATCCTGGCAGTGGAGCTCCAATCTTTCCATCAAGTCTTGAGGAGCTGGAAGGCAGGGATGGGTTTCTGCTGCCATCTGGTGATACTTTGTCATAATTCAGAAACTGGAAGTTTCAGATCTCTTCAATTCCTGTCATACTGATTGTTGTGTGCTGGAGGAGAGAATAATTCTCATCACCTTCTCTTGGGATTGGATTTGTCAAGGAAAAGTGTCCAGCTGTAAAACAATTAAAACCACTGAATGTAAACTCAGATACTCTCATTATTAATTTATTTTCTCATTGTTGCAGAAAGTGTTGAGAAAACAAAGTAAAATGTTTAACACTACAAACTGGCTGTTCTAACGGCTTAGGTTAGAAGTTTGAGCTGGATCAGTGTCTGATTCTACACTTAGACCAGCATGCATAAATAAGCTTATCTTATGTAGACAAAGGTCTTGATTTGCCCAGACAAGTGTTTTTAAGAGCAGTTCTAGTAAATTGAAATAGGTTACCTTATGCTTTGTTTGATGTTGGTCAACACCATTATTGTTTCAGAAAGTATCTTGCTGCTGGTAATGCAAATTCATAGCTGACAGCAGCAGTTTAGTGTTGTACTCAGTGTGGGGGGAGAAAACACAGACTCTGCCTGTGAGGTGCCTTTTGGCTGGGCAATAAGGTAATTGAGACATAAAGGAATCCTAATTGCAAGCTCTGGAGAGACCTGCACTTGAGGGGAGTTCTCTTTTTCCCTGTTCCTCTTTGCCCACTGAGATAATTACTGCTAACCTGTTACCCCTGGCTCCTTCATTCCAGCCTTCACTTGCTTCTCTTCTTCTTGGGACTTGTGGATAGTGTTAAGACAGAAAAGAAACGTGTCCTGATGGTTTCACTTGCCATGGTGTGAATCTGAGGTGAATTTGCAAAGCCTCTTGGAGCTGCAGCATCTGTGCTTTCAGAGCCTGGGCTAAAGGTCTCTGCAGTTCAGTGGGGGCCCAGCTGTGCTGTGCTCTGTCAGACCCAGCACTGGTGGCTGGGCTGCTTCTCGTGGGACTGTCACCTTATCTTCCTGTCAGTTTGTCAGGTCTGAAATCTCCTTGGTCTCTCTTACCTGGTTCTTACCTGCCTATTCTGTTGCAAGATGAACAATATAAAAAAATTATCCCCTGCAGGTGAAACACGGTCATGCTAAACTCAAATACAAATAATGCTTTATAGAACAAAGGTTTTATGGAATAGTGCTGCCAAATTCCAAGAAAACAGTTAAGCTCTGTAAAGTTTCTAGAGTTTGTATTTTTCTTTTTTTTTTCCTTCATGCTCATACCCCCAGCTTTACTATGAACAAAATGAGTTGTGTTTCCTTGAAAGAGGGAAATTGACATAATTAGAGAATTATAGTAATGCTTCCTCTGAATACCATGGAAAAGGTTTTTCTGCTTTGTAGTGAATTTTAGGTAGTTTTTTTCTTAGTGGTGACAGAACAGTCTTTTGCACATGCATATTTTGGAACCTGCAGGGCCCTTTTAAGCATGAATACTAACTTGGTACTAACTTGATAAATGGTTTTCAAGGGAAATTTTTTTACAATTCTTTCAGGTTTGGTAAAAGTCTCAGTGATATAACCCTGTATGAAACCTAAGTTTTATGGGCTGCTTGCAGATTAATTTGTATTGTAAATTGTTTATTCTTTTTTAAAGGTACAGAGAAGACAAAGGAAAATAAACTACATGATAAGGATGCACATCTGAGAAATGAAAAGGCAAGCATTTTGTAAGATTGAAAACCACTAAAAGCAGTCTTTTTGTAGCAGGTTTGAAGTTACAGATTGGTTCTTTCATGGCAAGCTTTATCATGATACATTTTATGCAGGTAACTTCCTCTGCCTTATTTTACACTTGGCCTATATTTACTTGTAAGAGCTGGGCCCAACTTCAGTTCCCTTTCTAGGAAGTTGATCTTCTATGACAGATTGATCAGAAATGAGGTTGCCACCATCAGTCACCAGAGTTTAGAAGTGTTCTCAGGCTCCTGTTACTGAACAATCATAAAGTGAACTGATTTGTATGAAAAATTACTTTGTACTAGGGAGCCTAATTTTGAGTTTAATAATTTCTCTGAATTTGGTGTGGTGTGCATGTGAGTGAGAGCCAGTGCAAGGGTGGGAACAGGTAATTGTGGCAGCCCCAGCTCAGGCTTTGCTTGTAAAATCCATTGAGTTGATTGGTGAGTTGCAGATGCTGCAACTAATCCCAGCTGTAAATTTCACAGCCTTCCTTACTCTGACTCTGGTGCATGTTGCACCCTTCAATTCCATTCAGGTTGCTCAGGATGCAGAGAACTGATGCCTTGTGTGGCATGAGAGAGTTCCCTACAAATTACCCTGGCTCACAGGCACTCATGTAGCTGTGGGTGCACATGGATAGGAGTGGAACCCCTTTTTGTAGTCATGACACTCTAATTTTGACTCACTGCATCTAATGAGATCTTCCTACATTGACATAAATTCTGAAATTACATCCTGGGAGTCATTTTTTCTACTTGCAGCCATGTCATTATTTCTAATAGAAGGTCAGTTCTTCACGGAAGCTGCTGTTTCTCTCTGTGGTTAATTGTAATTCCAGCTGTATTATTCTGATTTAATAATTAAATTCCTTTGTTCGTATTTTTTGAACCTTTAAAGGTTCAAAAGAATTGCTTATTCCTGGTTCTATAATTACTCGAGTGTACTAATTTAAATTCTGCTGTGTTAAATGATAAAACTATTTGCATTTTGTCTGGAGAATGCACTTGAGTGAATTAGTTGTCTTTCTATGGCTCTTAAACATTTGGCCCTTCTGTGTTAGGATTTTTCCCCTTCTGGTAACTTTATAGTGCTCACCTTTGATTAGCATTGCAAAAGCCCAATTCATTTGTCTTCATGTAGAACAGCCACTATTCATTTTGGTAGTAGCAGAAGCTGAATTAGCTTCCTTTGCCTGTTTACTTAGAACCTTGTAATTGTGCTTTTGTGTAGAGTTGATCCTGTGAAGTATGATCTAAAACTGTTTCAAGCCTTTTTCATCACTTGACTCTATAGTTCTAAAGTTTGGGAATATGGGAAGTGGTTTGAGGAATATTGTAAAACCATAAAAAAGCCCCAAACTTACTGGCTTTGTCATTGTGGTTTGCTCAGTCAATACACATGGGATGGAGGTGGACAGTAGCCTTTGATCAGTGAAAAATGTCATCCTGGGGACTGGAGGGGGCCCTGCAGGACCTGGTGGTTCTGTTGAAGGGAGGAGGTCTCAGTTTTTGCAGTGGTAATGACAGCAGATGATCTGAATGAGACTGGGCTAGAAGAGACCAAAATACAGTAATTGTGAGAGACTTCAGCCACTTTCCAGTGGAGTTGATGAATATTAAGCTTATGCATGATGCTCCAACTGAAAATTAGGACACAGCTGCTTTGTGGAACAGTTAGAGAACTCATGAGAAAAATTTTTTGATTCTGTGTGAGATCAGGTCCAAAGTCTTCCCTGCTGACAGGTGCTCTTACAGAGACTATAATCTTTTGGAAGCATTGAAAAATAGGTAAGACAGTAATGCTTAATTTTCAAAAAGAAAACTATATAAAATTTAAGAAGCTTTTAAAAGAAGTTATATGGAATTGCTCTCCAAACCCAGAAAATTTGTAGGTAGTATAGGGATTTATTCAAAGCAGAATATTGATGATTTGAAATGAATACTAAATTGTGTCTGGGAAAAGTAGTATGGCTAAGAGACAATACAAAGCAGACTACTAAAAAATTTCATCATGCAAAAATGTGAACTTAGCAGAATTTGTATTATTCTATACTTACCTCATTTGACTAAGTTAAATGAACTATACAATGGTGTAGTTTAAAATAACTTTGAGGGAAAGCTTGTAATGCATCACTAATAGATATTTGTTTCAAATGCCTCAGGAGCAGAAAGCTTGCCAGCTTCTCTAAGGCCTAATGGTGACTGAGGCACAAAAAGTATTGAGGGAAGATGCAAATCTGTCTATCTGTAAATAGTTAAACACACATTTACCTTGGGGAATCTTGGAAGGGTCACTGGTTGCTTATAGTCATTGTTCATGAAATCAAGGCAGAGAATCTATTTCAGCTGAGCAGTTTGTAGAAGAAACTAGTAAAATAAATAGTAATAAAGCACTAGGGCCAGTAGCATAGCAAGGAAATCTCTGAAGAACGTGAGGGTGGAGGAATTCAAGCACTCCGATGCAGCATCTTGCTTAATGCTGTTCAGTAGCATGCTGCTGTAGAGGGACCCAGGGACTGTCTGGAGTAGGAAAAACTGTTCTGGGTGTAGTGGATTAAACAGAATAGAATGTAACATTTATTCATACAGCTCATAATACTTCAATGCAACTTTTTAATATATTTTTTATGTCTTGCAATCCTGTAAGTTGCTTGAAGGGATCCAGTTGATTCACATACTCGAGATTCCAAAGCAGTCATTAAAGTCTCTTGCCAAAAGTCTATAACAAATGAAGCTGTCATGAAAAGAGCTCTGAATGTTGAAGCTAAAGATGAAGGGTCTCTTCCCTCAGACAATATTATTCAGACAATAACACCCTTGTCACTGTGGAAGAGAGGTTACTGGACTAGATGCCTCTTACAGTTGTTAATTTGCCATTTTGGACTAATATTAAGTTAAAAAAGAAGTGGTTGTGGATGCAAATGCTATATGTCAACAAAATCTCTACTGATACATATTTGAATTTTGGTTTATGTAATGTGGTTTCCCTAAACTGGCTCTGTTTTGTTAATATCAACAGTTTTTAATAGAATTTTGCTTTCTTGAAAGCTTATCTAAACTAACTTAGTGGAATTTTTAGTTTCTCCTTATAAGTCAAATAGTTGGTTTGCTAAAAATTTCTGATTTTCTCAGGAGGATTGTGATTTCAGAATTGCCACATTAAAAACAACTGTCAGCCCTGAAAAAAAAACTGCTGGTCAGATAGTCAGGACAGTGCATATGGATAAAATACTTGGCTGTCAAGATACCAAAATACTGAGCTGTTACCAGGATTCAGGCTTCCCAGAATGGCAATATCAAGAAAGGAGTCTTTCAGTAGAAGAAAAAGCCCTGAAGGATGGGGAAAACAAAATAGTTATTCCTCTTAAAAGAAGGCAAAATGTGTCTACATCTTGTTCAGAGAAAACAAGAAGATTGCATTTAAATACCTGCATGTTCCTACCTGAAGGAAGACACAGCTGTACTCCTGGACAAATAAAGTCTTCTGGAAAGTTTCCTTGTGATATCAGCAGTTTAGGATGTGAAGAAAAAAGGAAACTCCTTGCAACTATAGAACAGGCAGCAGCTTTTATCACTACTATGATATTTCAAGATGGTTCTTCACAGCTCAACTCGGAGCAGGTTAGTGAAGGATGGGTTTTGTTTAGAGTTACTTCTGTAGAGTCATTTGAATGTGAATGTGACTGATAATCACAAACCTATGTTCATTGGCAACACTTTTGTGTATGACATACCAAAATGTACAGTTAGATTATATTTCATTTTCAACAACCAAGTAAAACTTAGAGAAAATGAAACCACTAGGATTTTTGTTTCAAGGCTGAAACACTTGCTCCTTTACTGTGTCAATGCAGTAACTGTAGTGTGCATAACAGGTTTCATATTGTAAAATACTTGGGAATTTTTCTTTATAGGATTGCAAAAAATCTGTCAGAGGAAACATTATTGTAATTATGCTTAACAGGACTCTACCTCCTCAGTAAAAGGAGTTGTTGTGCTGGTGAAGAATCAGACTGATCAGCCTTGTCCTCCAGGTCACACTTCAACTGGCTATACTTGGAATGCTGCAAATGAAAATGATAAATTAATTTATTTAAAAACTGAACAGTCATCTCTCTGGGATCAGGAACAAGAACAAGCTCGCAAGAAATTTTCTTGGTGAGAGCATGTAGGAAAAAACACTCTTTTGCTTTACATATGCTTTCAGCAATAATGATGTTGGTTACTTAGCACTAATCTCCTTACATGTCAGGCTTGTTGAAAATCATTTTGGCTGTGTTAGTTCTGTATCAAGTCTGGGCTAATAAAAACCAAATAAGAACAGACTTTTCCTTTGGGCTCAGCATATCACTGGCTGCAGCCCTTTCAGAATTAGGTTGGGATTCTGGTAGGAGCTGTTTAATTCACCTGCAAATCCTTTATGAGCTGTTAAAGCTGGACAGAACCAAAGAATATGTTTTGTCCAGGTTTATCTTTCTTGTATTTATCTTCCATTTCCTGAACTGCATTTCTTAACGAGTACATTTTGGATGGACCTTACTGCATGGGCATTGCTATATGGACATTATTATAAACACCCTTTCTGAGCTTTGTTAATACTTTAAATCTTTTTAGCACAGGTTTCTTTAAATGGCTTTTAACATTCCAGATGAAGTTTTACTAATATTCAGTAATGATACAATATAATTTTGGAAGTAAAGGCTTTATGTATCTGCTTAATACTTAGTCCAATTTTTATTAAAATTTAGTATATGTTTTAAACTTCCAGTTATTATAACCAAAGTCCATTTTTATTCCTATTAACTTGAAAACCATATCCCAAAAAGGGAGAAATGAGAACTGAATCTGATCCCTAGATGTAATATTATAGCATGTTAAAACTCCATCAGAATATTTTATGACTTTCAGTAATTGCTGTCTTATTGTAAACTACTGAATTTGGATTATTAAATTACAAAACATTAATTTCAAGATGTGGGACTTGGTTCTTAGTTGCATCTCTTCCACTGTTTGAAATTGTGGCTTGAAACAAGTCATTGCTTGTCCAGCTGTAATATTGGGGTTACATGACAAGTACTTTAATAACATGTTGTTAGCTTGAATGTAGGTTGTTGTGAACTGAGAATAACATATCAGTAAAGCATATACATATGAACAGTAAAAATTTGGTAAGTTGATTAAGAGTATTAGCATTGAGATGAAACATATGGGTAATTACTTAATGTAAGAATAGTGCAATTGTTTAAGAATGGATCTATAATGCATACAGCAATACCTTGTGACCTATGTGATTTCTAATGTGTCCAAATCCTTGGAGTTGTGGTCTCATACCATTAAAAATGCTTTTTAAAAACTATTACTTTTCTATATTGCCCAAAATATAACTTACTAAAAAAATGATACATGTAGTTGGTAAATCTATATACTAATATATATGTAGTTGTTTCAATACCTTGTGACCTATGTGATTTCTAATGTGTCCAAATCCTTGGAGTTGTGGTCTCATACCATTAAAAATGCTTTTTAAAAACTATTACTTTTCTATATTGCCCAAAATATAACTTACTAAAAAAAATGACACATAGTTGGTAAATCTATATACTAATCTGTATGTTATTGTTCATATCTATTTAAAATATCCTGAATGAGGGAATTATAGACATTTTCAAGAGGTGTGGAAATACATGACAAATATGAAGCATTTTGGATTTAAACAGCATAGGGCAGTTATGGCAATTTAGATTGTCTAGTGACTTTAAAATCAGTGTTTTATACTGCTACATCAGTTTAGCCTCTATGATCTTATTTGGGTATATTGGAGTATTACAGGGGTACCAGTTACTGTTTTGGATTAAGGTTGCATTTCAGGAGTTAAACAAGAATTTGTTTTCTTTATGTATATGTGATAAACCATATCTGCCAGGATGTTTTAATTTCTTCTAGAACATAGCTTTGAGGATTACTGAATTGAGAATTTAATATTCAAATGCAGTATTCTGTTCTTATAGGAATAAGGAAATGTCTTGGGTTAACTGTTTAGTATTAGGTGCTAATTAAAAGAACAAAGTAAATAGATTGACTAAATCTCAGAGCAGTATATGTGTGTTAATGAGCTGCTTCTGTGCAGGCAAGTGTTGTTTCAAATGCTGCAGTGCAAAGTTCCAATAATTTGCTTCAATGCAAAAGATTTCCTGAGGACTCTACTTCAAATTTATGGTAATGAAATCAGCTGGAAACAAGGCAAGTATTGAACCTATGATCTCATCCTGTAATCTCTGTGCTGTTGGTGTTTCTGTTCAAATCACTGAGTGTAGAAATAACTAAAGTAGTGGCTAAGTAATATAGTGAAAAACAGAGTTTAGTATCATACAAAAGAACATCTTTCTTGGAGGAGGTTGTGACCAGAGTCTTGGCATGTCAAGATAATGTATTCTTCTCAGAGTAGGAATTAAATCATTGACTTAAGGATAGCTTCCAGTGGAAACAAAAGCTCTCAACACAATCCTGACTGTAGCTGAAAAGGTCAAACTATTTCATGTTTCACATTTCCTATGAAAAAAATTCCTCTGCTAAAAGGAAGGGCTAAAATAAATCCCAGAGATGCTCATAGTTGTCAGAATTAGGAATCACTTGAATGGGCCCATGTTGTTTTGATAGAAACAAGTAAGATTCTTCTCTCTGGATTTAAAAGCAATTGCTAGCAACAAGCATAAGATGTAAATATAATGTCTTTTTTGTTTTGGGTTTTTTGGGTTTTTGGTTTGTTTTTTTTTTTTATTTCGTTCCATATATCAAATTGTTGAGGTGTTAGGGCATGGGTTGGACTAGATGATCTTTAAGGTCTCTTCCAACCTAGTCATTCTGTGAAATGGCTGCTGAGTGAGTTACAAAAGTACACGTGACCTTTCAGGAAGGGCTGTCTCTATGGAGAATCATCAGCTTGTGTTCAGCATCTGAAAAGTTTCAGTAAATCACAGTGAGGATCTGTACAAACACCAGCACTGGGAATGGGAAAAGTGGGAAAAGAAATGCCATAATGGGACTGGCAATAGTGACAGTTTAGAACTTGTACACACAGGAAGTACTTGATAGTACCTGATCCATGGGATTTGAATCTGAAGCTTCTAGTAACCAAAACATTTCTTGTTTACGCTTTTAAACTTGGAAATGTGATGCTTCCTCACACATTATTTCTGCTAGGAAAAAAAACAAACAAACAAAGCTCCAACAGAGCAAACAAAATCTCTAAAATTCTCTTTAGAGTAGTCCTGTAGCTGTAGCTTGCATTATGGACATTAAAATTTGCTTCCAGGTAACTGAGTCTACAAGGTTGTGTAGCAGGGAGTTCTCTATAAATGTAGGTCATGGTTTGAATTTACTTAGGGGTTACTGAAGAGGATACTTAGGTTTATCTTTGAATATATCACAAAGCAGTCTAGTTATTAGTTCCTCCTGTTCTTTGTAGAACTGCAGGACACAGGTTGAGATTTTAGTTCAAAGGAAAGTGAAACAGCACTGGGCTTGGCCCATCCTATCCATCTATGTAACATGAGGCTGCAGTGTAAGCACATATGATGCTAAAGGACATAAGGTTCTGAGTTTTGGCAACAATACATTGTGCACCCATATGTGAATTCATATATACATTCACAATCTTGGTCTGATTGCCAGGAAGTAAATCTCTCCCTGGTCCCCAATAGCAATATTGTGGATATCAGTCAAATGAACAACAACAATAAGAAAGCTGTACCAGAAGGAGTCTCTCATAAAAAATACTTGAAGTTTTTCAGTTCTAAGAAAGGAAGGTTTTTGCAATAAATCTAAGGAGCCAAAAGTTTACCTATATTTGGAAACTTGAAAAAATTCCACCCCAACCTCACAAAACAACACTCTTCAAAAATGTGCAATACTACACTTCCTCCTGTGTAGTCATGGTACTGACCATGTGTTACAGCTGTGACTTCAATGTTTAATATTTTTGTAAAGTAAATACTTGCCCTTTTATGATGTCCATGTGCAGGAAAGATGGGCAAAACTTTAGAGCTGTTTTTCAGTATAGGAGGTAATTTAAGTATTTTGAATAACTTGTTTTTGTAGTTGCCAATAGTGTCGTGCTAGATCCAAGGATTGCAGCATGGCTGATAAACCCCAGTGACACAGTTCCTTCCTTTGAGTGTTTAATACAGAAGTATTTTGAAAAGCCTTTTTCAAAGGGAGCAGAAAATACAGATACAGGCACTTTGAGAAACATATCTGTAAGTAGTTTGTTTTCAATTGTTTGGGTTAAAAAGGGAAGGAAATGATAATAGAATTGCTTGCGCTTAGAAAATATTGCAAAAGAAGATAGTGGATAGATTTTATGATGGAAAAAATTATTCTCTTAATGTGACATGTTGGAAATGGAAAGCAAGGGGAGAAGGGGAGGTTTTACTGCATCTACCAGGATGAGAGCTCATTCTCGAGGAACAGCTGTAAAATTTTCCTTTAAAACTGTAAAGTTCAGTAACAACAGGAATTAATATAGAGTCTTATATTTTTTCTCTTCACCTTCCTGAAAAATTATTTCCAACTCTCCCTTCCAAAATATCTAATGCTGTGTTTGTTCTCCAGTTCCTGTGCACTTGTAGCCTGTATTTAGTTGATTGTTATTAACAATTTTGCTAAATTTCACAGCTGGTACACACCACATCATAGGCTGAGAAACAGTAGGAATCAAATGTGAACCTCAAACATTTGTATGAAAAACCTGTGAATTTTAATTCTCAGTGTGAGAGAATGCATGATGAACGTTTTTTCCCTGTGCTATGGAAAGTTCTTCCTGTATTGTGTCAAATGCCCTCTGTATTTCTATTGAAATGTATTTCCTGACTGTTATAAAATATTTGCATCTGTTTTGGGCTGTGGGGATCTACTGTGGACACATTAGCTTTCAGAGATTTTTTGAAGGATAAGATGATGTAGAACAACCTAAATAATGTGTTTTTTTCTGCCATTCACTTTTCAGAGGCCTTGCTCATTCAGACCAAATATTGTACCATGATTGTAGGACTTGTAGGATCCAAATCCACAGATGTCAAGTGGGCTTGGAGCATAGACAGGGGTTGGTTGTACTGGCACTTACCCATCAATGTAGACATTTCTGGCCAAACCAGAAGCAGTTTACTTGAAAGCATTGGCTGTAAACTGCAGTTGTTCAGAAGCTACTTCATTAATTATTAGTGTAGCAATAGACAAGCAAACAGACAGAAGTTAAGTATGGTTCTTTTATGTGTGATGGCCTTGCTGTGAGTCAGCATCCTTAATCTTGTCTCTTCCCTTAGCCTGACTCAGTCTTTTGTTCCTCAGATATCACATCTGTTGTTAGTTATTTTTCAATTTTGTTATCCTGATTCCCAGCTCTGAGTTAAATATTGACATTTTATTTCCTTCCTGTCCTGCTTCAGGTCTAGTTTGTTTCCTTACCACAGCCATCTCCAGTATCTTTATGCCTAATTGAGTGACTTGTTCACTCAATTCCTGGTTAATGTCTCCTTCTAACATCCTGTGACTATTCTCCCCCATTCCTTATTCCTGAATTTGTCACCTGCCCTCTCACACTTCCTTTTTGGCTTTTCTCTTTGCTTAGTGAGTCCCAGTTCTTCCTGTGTCTCCTGGTTCTTTGCCAGCTTTATCTCTTCAATCTTCTTGCTGTTTTTACTGGTAGATTCCTAACAGTTGTCTATACTGCCAGAGGGATCTGTGGTAAGTGATAAATCATCTTGTGCCTCACTACTTCGGTGAAGCTCCCTGTCTTGTGCTAGTCTTGTCCACCCACCACAGTACTTGGAATGACTGCTGGTTTATTCTGTAGCCCACAGCTCACCCACACACCTCTAGCACAAGGATGTGCTGCTTGTCTGTATGTTTGGTGCTGTGCCAGAGTGGTCATGGTCCACACTCCCTGGAACATTTGCTGGAACAGGTGCTGAACATTATGCTGGTCTTGTCATCACTGCATTTACTGATGAGGCATTTTGGTGTCAGTTGAAGCCTGTCACTGGGCTCTCTCCCACCTCCAGGAAGGGATCAAGCAAGCTGTCTGTATTTCACAGACAGCTCGTTTGTTCCAGAACAAGCTGGTATGGACAAGGTTTCTTGGAGACAGGTTGGTGACTTTTCATTGCAGTATGGACTAGACTGTTTTAGAACAAGGATCATCACCAGTGGATCTGCATATTTCAGCTTTGAAGAGAGCCCTCTGCATCTTACCTTCCAGGCCTGCTGTTTCTCAGACTTCATTAAGTTTATTTTTAATGGTCATGTTAGTGGAGCTAACAGTCTTTCTCACTATTTGCATACATTTCAAATGGTATTCCAGCCAATTGAAGGAGGTGACCTGGTGTTGTGTGGAACACCTCAGGAACAGAAGGGAAAGAAATGAACAGTTCTGTCACAAAAGTGGCAGTACTTATATGAGAAAAAGAATGCAAGGAATTTTTCCTCATTTTACAAGTAGTAAGGGAACTCTGACTTCAGTGTCAAAGGCAGTCTATTGATACTATATTTCTCTGTACTTGATACAAAATGTAAATACAGGAACAGGCAAAATCTGGAATGTTCTTAATTAGTGCAATGTTCATGGTCTAGTGCTACGATTGTGGTTTGACAGAGATCTAACAGTGTTTCTAAAATGTTAACAGAAGGTATACAGAAAAGCACATTTTTACACTTTATACCTTTTAAAAAGATTTATTGCTAAAAAGATTTAGAGTATTGTTAGCAATAAAGTTATTGATTTATTTTTGATTTATTTTTATCAGTATCAAAACTTAGGTGTGAACTTGGAGAAGCTTTATAACGTAATGATGGACCTTGCTAATGGCTTAAAGGTAAGACAAAAAGAATTTGCTCAGGAATAACTATGTAAGTATTGAATTAAAGAGAGTTAATGATGTATTTCTCATTCAAATTAGAATAATAGAATGCTTCAGTCCTCAGTGGTTTACATTGGCAGTCAACATTTAAAATGAATTGCCCATCAAATTTGCCATTTTTTCTATAAGGAGATGGTGTCAAGGTTAATCTTTAGGAGAAACTTTTCCTCTGCTACATTTAACTAAATGAAGATTCTGAGAGCAGGAAAAGTTCAGAATATTGACTTTTCTTTTAGTATTTTAAATCTATATATTACTGTTTAAAAAGTGTTAAAATAGGTAGAACATGTAGCTATTTTTTCTAGGTATTCCTTGCTTATGAAAACTCTCAGCATATCTTTTGTTCTAGGTTGTGTTAACCAAGCACTGGCCACATGCTGGGACAGGCAGCCCAGAGAGGTGGTGGCTGGCCCAGGCTTGTCAGTGTTTGACACAATTGGACTGTGCCCTTATCATATACTTTAAATTTTAGTCAGCCCTGAATTGACCAGGCAATGTGACTAGACAGTCATTGCAGGTCCCTTCCAAGTGAACTATTTTATTATATTTTACCCCTCATTGCAGTTCAGAATGCATCTCAACAAATCTGTTGGGGTGTTTGTGTTTTCTGCCTGTGGTCATATACCTGGGAAAGGGCCAGAATTTAGGGATACACCCAGGTTCTGGTAGAGGTTTCCCAGGGAATATCTTTGAAGTTGCTGGTAGCAGGTTAGGGCTTAGACCATGAGGTGATGGAGCCGTGCTAATGTGGATATCAGCAGTGTGGTGAACAATCTGTGAAGGGAGGAAGCAGGGAAACACCAAAATCACAGAAATACTGAGATTGAACCCACAGGAATTTTTACATAAGTCAGGTTGCTTCAGTGGTTAGAAAAACACAAGACTTTCTGTTCTCTATAAGTAATTTGGGGACATGACCCTTTCAATTCTTATTTTCTCCCTAATGAAAAAAAGTTATGAATTATGAATGGTTGCTTAATTGTTCAAGTGAACAAAGGTAAAAGGATAACTGTGTCCTATTATAATGAAGCTTGCTTTAAAAACAAACTGTTTAGAAAAAAGATGTATGTATATTTCTCTATTAGCATTCTTGTACAAAATAGTTACTATTGCAAAATTCCTATTCCCCACAAAGAGAAGTGACAGCATTTAGAAACTATAATTTACACTAAGTAGTATTTCATGCCACAAACACGTGTTGTCTTGTAAAAAGGGAATATAAAGAAAGTGAAATACTGCTCACTAGGAAATACTGAAGAATGTATTTATAACTTACTTTACAGGCTCAAGGTTTGTGGAACTTATTTTGCACATTAGAGCTTCCACTTATCAAAATTCTGGCAGGTATGAAAAGTTCAGTTCAAAATATGAATCGTCACTATTTTCACACAGCTGCTGACTGTGCTCGAGTGGAATGTAGTTCCTCTGAATGTGAAATGCTATCTTAGCCTCATAACAGCTGTGTGAGTTTGAGTTTCCATTTTACACTCTAAGAAAAATGTAAGATTGAAATAGTGAATTATAAATGTTCTTAACCTAAAATTGTATTTACAGTGATGGAAACACACAAAATATATGTGAACAAACAAGAACTGAAAAAAACATCAGAGATTCTAGGGGTAAATTTTGTATATTTTTCCTTAAAAATTATATAGCATAATCTTTGCTTTTACTGAGGATAACTGATTAAAAAGAGAAGGAACTTTTGTCACATTTTATGTAATAGTGTGGTGGTTTTAGTATATTGTTATAAATAATTATATTTACATTTTAGGATACTTCCCTATTAATTTACACAAGTAAAAGACACATTTGAGTCATCAGCCTTGCCCCAGAACTGAAATTGCATTGCAAAAGGCACAAGTCCTTTTGGGTGATGTGTTGTAGAGTAAAAATGGTAATGACTCTTTCTGAACCTTCAGTTTTCAGTACCCATCTTCCTGAGGAGTGACAGACTTCTCACCCTCTGTTAACAATACACTCTTTAAATGAGTGTTCTTTGATAAAAATAGCTACAAGAGAATCCCATTTTGTAACAAAATTTGACTAGATAATCATACTGGTCTGACAGATTACTAATTTATCAGAATAATTTGCATAGCTGTGTTTCTCGCAGATCTCTATAGGCTTCAGTAACCTGAATTCTTTAACCACAAATGTTGGTACCTCTTCCTACAATAAATCCCCTTCCCAGCTCATAAAGCAATATAAATTAAGGAGTATATAAGCAATCTACTCAACCAAATGTTGATAGCTAGAAATGATTACACAATATCAAGTACTCCATTTTAAATAAAGGTCCAATATTCTCATTAACCTTGGAAGCAGCAGATATTGAAGAAAATAATAGTGCAAGCAGGATAATTTTGATGTTCTAATTTATAGCTGCGGCTCAAAGAGCTTGAACAGGAGGCTCATGAGGCTGCTGGAGAACGATTCCTTTTGACCAGCAGTTGTCAGCTCCGAGAGGTATCACTTGTTCTACTATTTCTGCTCAGGGTGTATGTTCTATAGATTTATGGATACAGGAGAACTGTAAAGCACACATATCCTTATCACTTCTCACTTATTCTTTATTAATTATTTTCTGGTTTTAATGAAGGACATCTCAATTTTTAAAAAATATGATGTTGAATAATCTGTATTTATGTGTATGTACATAAATTATGCTCTTTTTTTAGTAATTATGTCACTGCTTCAATAGCTCAAAAATAAAGATTTTCTTTGTTAGTTCTCTTTGCTACAGCATGCTCTATTTACCTTGTAACCTGTTTTCTGTTTAAGTTTAAGCACCCAATAATGTTCCTTTCTATTTCAACACTTGAAACACTGAAATATTTATTGTATTTATATAAAATTGTATTTTTCTTGCTTTAGGTACTATTTGATAAGTTAAAGCTCCATACGCTGTGTGAGAAACTTCACAGGACTGAAATACAACAGCTCGTATCCACCTCAGAAGTTGTGGTGAGACAGGGAAAAGTTTTAAAAATAGCTGCATGATTTAGCAAAACTTCTAAGTTATATTCCAGTAAATCATGATTTTTCTAGATTTTTTTCTAATGTTCATGCTTTGTTTTTGTATTGTACTATTTGTGCTACAGGTACTTGTGCCAGAAAAGAAACTTGCACTCCATGGTGGGGAAAAACAAACCAGCTACTTTGGGGAAGGTAGGAAGGTAATATTTATTTCTTAAGAAGGAAATTCCACTTTTCAGTTGAGTTTGAACTACCAAATATGATCTCCAGTAACCTCAACAGTATAACCATAAAACCCACTCGGTACTCAGGGAGAAGGAGGTTTTATAGATCAGACATGTAACCTTGGAGAGTGACAGAGAGCCTTGGGAAATGGGAGGCATCAGTGAAATAGAATTCATGTCACCTTTTTGTAGGAACATAGGATTTGTAGCTATAATCAAAGCAATGCTTTTATATAGTCCAGTATTCTCTTTCCAACAACTGCTGAGACTGGGTTATTTGGAGAAAAGGAGGATGAAACCTTCCAGGAGATAAATAAACAATTAATCTGAAGATGTTAGTTTCTCCGTGGTAGCAAGAAAAACCCTTGTATTTTAAATACAAATTTTAGCACAGTTGCATCTGTTTTTCATCCTGGACTATTGTAGTTTCAGGTATTTTTTGTTGTACTTTTAAATATCCAATCTCTATTTTAATAATTTAATTCTTTTTCTCAACAAAAGTTTTGGCAGCTTCTAATCAAAGTAATCAGAAATATGCTTTATTTTATTGACTTAATTTGACAATCTGAATTTCTCTTGAAGTGTTCCTGGAACTTTTATTAAGGCATGAACAGGAGACATTCTCCTCTTGGATTGTGTGTATATAAATATGTATATGTACATATATGTATTATTTTATCTACTTCATCATGTTCTCTCTTGCATTGATGCTGTATAACACAAAAAGCAAACAAAGGGCCACAAATAACACACAGACATCATACCCCAGTGTTTTCAAAGCTGATGTGGAAAAGTTCTTATCCCTGTCAAAAAAAGACAAAAACTCTTTTTGTCCCTGTCTGGGACAGGGATGAAATGGGAAGGAGCAATCTCCAGCATTCCTAATGAAAGCTTCCTTGGGCCTGGGCTGGGATCACTTGAAGGACATCATCCTTCACCCAGTATTTTGTCCATTCAGCTTGTCAAGAAAATTTCTTCCTCCAAAATGTATTCTGTTAAAGTGTGTTTAATAGTAAAACTTCAAGAAAAGTATGTCAGTAACTCACATTCTTGATTTTCCAGCTAAATAAATTGCAAGACCTTCATCCTTTGCCTAAGATAATTTTAGAGTACCGCCAGGTGAGCTGGTATTTTTTCATGGAATCTAGTTGCATTGAAGCAAAATTTAGCAAGATAGAAAAATATTTATAGTTAAATAAATTACATTGCTCTAGTGAAAGTTCATTCAAATACCAATTTGAAGTCAGTATTCTTAAGACATTTTAAATGTTAATGCTTCTAGTTGTTTTGCTCTATGTTAGATTTTAGCTAACAAGCAACTTGTGCAAGGTCGCAAAGACAACTGGAAAACTTCACTGTTAAATGTGTGTAGTGCTATAAAGCATACCTAGGGCAAAATGTCTATTTTTGAGTTCTGAAAAAATGCTTTGCATAAAGTGAAGGAGATAATTGTTTATGGGCAGTTTTGGGATGACAAGCCTCCTGAAAATCCTAAATGATCTAGTTAGTCTGCTCCCACGTTTAATCATTAGGTTTTCAGTGAATGAGCTTCCAAGAATTTTAGAAAATAAAAAAAAAGTTTAAAAGTGTGGGTTTATGTTTGGTTTTGATGTTGTTGTTGTTTTGGTTTTTTTTTTAATTTGTTTGTGGGTTTTTTGTGTATGTGTGTGATTTTTTTTTTTTTTTTTTTTTAATTTGTTTGTGGCTTTTTTGTGTATGTGTGTGATTTTCATGTGATTTATTGACCTGGGGACATAAGATGTAAAATAATAAATTCCAATAATTCATGTAATAGTATCTGCAAAGCTCTGTCTTTAGGTTATAACCAAGCACTTACTTAACTTACAGGAGTGGGTTAAGCTGTCAGTGAGTATAAATCCATTATTTACTTGGATAAAACTGTCTTTAAAAAAGAAAAGTCTACAAAGATGGTCCATTTGGAAATTAGCATCTTTAATTTGAAAATCCCTTATTTTTATAAGTAAACATTTATCTTAAATTTTATGTGTTTTAGGTTCATAAGATGAAATCAACTTATGTGGATGGACTACGAACGTGCATGAAAAAGGTACAAATATATAAAGTCGCTTGTAAAATCCTAAAAAGATGTGAAATGATTGCAATGTTTACAGTTTAAAAACTTTTATACATGGAAAATTAAAAGTGTTTCTTTTATATTTTCTTGTATTTATTGCAGTGAATTTTTATTACTGATACTTATATTAAATAAAACATAGCTGTGCGTCTTCATTCTTTTTTTTTTGTTTTTTACTTTACTTGATTACAGGGATTCATTTCCTCCACTTGGAATCAGACAGGAACTGTGACTGGCAGACTTTCAGCCAAACATCCTGTAAGTGAGCTTATTGGAAGATTTGCATTTTAATTGAAATGAAAAATGAATATTAGTTGTACAAAATACGTAATATTTTTAAGACAGGAAATGTTTGTTTTCATGCAAGTCTAGCAGTTGCTGTATAGTATCTAAATGGTGGACAGAAAAAGCTTATTAAATGAGTATTTTACTGTAGGACATCTGTTCTTAGACATATTTTGTGTTATCTGTGATCAGAATTAACGTAGTTACCCGAAGTAGAGGAGTAGAAGTGTGAGCTATGCATGTACCTTGGATACTTGCTTGTTATGAATTCTGGTGATCATGAAGCAGTCCTTGTAAAGCATCAGGAAAGTGGGTATTACAGAAAAAAAAAGAAGCACTCTTCTTCTGGAATTTAGCTTCAGGCCTCATGGCAGTAAAGGGCTCAGCTGGCAGTGCTGGTGCTATGGAAGTATTGCTTATATGGCTGTGACACTTGGGCTCTTTGTGCTTCCTCTCTTGTCTATAATGGTCACCATGTACATGTCTGAAATGTGTTTTATTTGACTTTCTGGACTGCTACAGGTTTGGGTTAGCTTCTTTTTTTCCTTTCCACAAAGTGGCCTTTCAAGGGCTTGCTTGAATATATTCTATGATCCCATTTCCCTTGGTGCTTATGACACCCACAAACCTTTGGCTGTAGGTCAAAGGCCTTTGTGTTCCCCTCTTGTCCCAGCCCATGGCTCCATGAATGAGATTTGGTGTGGGACAAGATGGGGCTGCAGAGCTCCAGGGGCTCGAGGCATAGGTGAGAGAACAGCAGAAGAAAAGTGATGACTGTCTGTCTGGGGAAAGTTTCTGTTTGGTTGAACCATGGCCTTTTCTACCAAAGACCTGGCCTCTGGCCCTGTGGGTAACTGGGGACAGATGCAGAGCTGGGACTTGTCTCATAAAGGCTAGAGGAAATCTGTGAGGCTGTTGTCCTTTGTTCTGTGCCCCAAAGTGTTGTCAGTTCCTATCCATGCAGATTTGGGTACTGCCTATTTCTGTGCAGGACCCAACCTTAACCTTCACGAGCACAAATGGCATTAGGAGCTTTCTGCAGTCTTGGAGAAAGGCCATGGTCTTCCACAGCTCTTTGTGGGAGCAGAGATTTACCCTTAACAGTTGTGAGCACTTTGCATGGATGGGCTCATGTGGTTCCTGACAAATCCTGCCTGGAATGGTGACTTTAGAGTTCTGACAGAAACCTGTCCTGGGGGGTTCTCACCCTCACCACACTTGGTTACTTCCTTAGCTTTTCTTTCACCTGTCTTCACAGTTCATGTTTTATTTGCATCTTTCTACCCTCATGGTACATATTTCCATACAATTTGTCATCAAACAATTTATAGGAAGTGCTTATACTTTTTGCTGAGTAAAAATCAGTGTTTAGGATTCTGAATTAACAACAGAATGGGGAAGTGTTACTGCTGCTCTCATTTCTCATGCACCCAGATGGGAAAAAGTGAGAGGAAAAGATGATCATGAAGGTCACAGTTTGCTGAATTCTCTGATGGGAGAAACAGGCATTTCCAAGTCAGAGCTGAACAGACAGCTGTCTTGAAAAAATCACATAAAACACAGAGTGACATTTGGCCCATCATAGTAAAAAGGACATGAAATCTATTTTTCTTAAAAGTTGTTTTTCTTCAAAATAATGCTGCTAAAGTAAGCATCCAGGGTTGCCTAAGGCTGGCTTCTCCTTCTAAGGAAAAACATTGGCATGGCTTTTTTCTTGTTTTAAATGTTTATAGAACTTATACCATCTGTTCCCGAATCATTTATTGATATAGAAAATATACTGCAGTGCCCAGTCACGTTGCTAAGTGTTAAAGGATTGGGAAGATTCTTGCTAGAAATCATAAATATTGGAGATATTTCTGTGGTTACTATGATATTATGTCAAATTTTAGCTGAATTTTTTGCTGAGGCAGTTTATTTTTAACTGTTTTAAAATGCTTTAGCAAGTCATTAAAGCAAAAGATAAGTGTGAATCAGATTCTGTGAGAATTCAAATGGAAAAACATCCCATATTCTGCAGTGCTTCTGAGACATGGGATTCCAAAGAAAGATTTCTTTGTGTTTTGTTTTGTAAAGGTAATGGATCTATCTGTCCTCTTTCCTTTAAGGCATTTAATGGAGTCCAGCAGGGATTTACTTCTAGGTTTGAGGGGAAATGACTAGACATTGGATACAGAGCAGAATTTCTTTTTCAGATAAACTCTGTCATTTTCTTTCAGACAGTTCCACATTTGATATATGGATGATGTATATTTTTGGCTTTATGTGGGTTTTTGTCAATAGATAAGTTTATTCACATGAGTTTTTATGACTTTTGTGTTGTAACAACTTAGAGGGGGTTTCTTAGCAGCACTTTACTTCAGTGCCTCTCCATGTGTTCATCTATTTTAGTTTAACTGTACACTTCATTTCTTCTCATTTGGTTTCTTCCTCTACAAAATGTGTGCTGTATAAGTAATGTGTTTTTCACAAATAACTGTTAATGTATTACTGCTAAACAGGGACACATTTGATCTTGCAGTCTCCTGTTATTGCATCATAGATGTCTATTTGCTACTTTTGGAAAACTTGGGTATCTGAAACCTAAGAGTAAATGTAAACCCTACAAATTATTTGATAATGTATCCATGTGCTAGCTTGTTTTTTTATTCCTCTATGATGGATTGCTTGTGACTATTAGGGGAATTTAATTAGGTTTATTATTTGAATGTGTTATTTTCAAATAGTTTTTGTATAAATGTATTAGTCTTGTCTACATTAGGATGCTTTTTGATTATATTACTCATAGATAACTTTTATCTTATATATATTTATAATGTTCATAAAAGCTTGTTTATGTTCTCCAAACCCACCTGGAAATATCTCTTTTCAGTCTCTCATGTTTTAAAGCAGAAATAAGTCAGGACAAAAGTGGAACAGCATAAACCCAATTAAGATTAAACCCCTTTCCGAATGAAAAGAGAGAAATCCTAACTTGAGCTATAAAGATTGCATAAAATTAGATGTTATAATTTGGTTTAAGATGTAAATTTCAGTGCTAGAATCAGATATTCTGTATTAAGGTTTCTTTCCTCCAGGCTTCTGCAGCAGAGAGAACTGAAATGCTGCTAATGAGTTTATGCTTCTCTACTTCAGAAGATGTTTTTATCATTAAATTGAAAAGCATAAAATGGTGGGCTTCAGGGAGCATTTCCTTCCTTTTAGTAACAAAAAGTTATGCTGAAGATAAATAAAAAAAATTCACCTTCTTGGAGCAAGTGGAAAAAACAAGCATTCCTGTTTCTCCTCAGGAAAAATGCTTTGACGGCTTGTCCAGAAAGGCAAAGAAATAAAATAATATAACCTATCAGTCAAAGAAACATGTTAGCCTATAATTTGGAAATCAGGAATGTAATTTGAAAGAGAAACTAATTAGGACATATGAATGTTAACCTGCTTAAGGAAGGATCATAAATAACCTGAAATATTGCATGTATCTCAATCTCTTCAACAGATATAAGATTTTCTGGTGATGAATGCACAATAGAGAATTGCATGCTTGTTTATTAGAAAATGAGTGTTGCAAGTAGTGTTTGGAATATGAATAATGAATTTACCCATCTGGTTTTCATTCTAAGAGGAGAGACAATCCCTTGAAGTAGAGGCCCCTCTGAGCAATTGCCATCCGAAATTAGTCTGTTCTCTCAATTAACTTAGCAAACCAATATTTCTGATTAGCCATAATGTATCCATGTTATTTCCCCTCTGGGCTGGTTTTTTAGAGTGAAAGATTTTCTAATTTTCTCTGAGATAAAATGGAAATGTCGTTTTGGTGTGGTTTTGGGATTCTGAACAGTATGGATGGGATGCTGCTTGTTTGTCTCCCTTTTGTAGCAGAATCCCAATAGGTTTTCCATTTTGGCATCCCCACATGTGCACTCCTAGCAGGGTGGTCTGACAGAATCGTGCTACCAAAGCTGTTGTGACAGCTCCAGGTTTCAGGCATTTTGTCCAAGGCCTTATTAAAGCTGCAGGCTGATGTGTGCTACTATAAATATTCTTTCTGGAAGTTTGATGTCTGTGGTCACAATTGGATTCTAGCAGAAACAGGGTGTTCTGCAAGGTGTTCCAATAGGGATGAGATTCTGCACTGTCTTGTTTTATCCCTGCCCCTTTCTTTCACAGCTTTTAGAAGGTTTGGCAAAGGCTGGTGCAATGTGAGGAATCAGACGCCAAGTCTGGGAGCAGAGATATGCTTGCATTTTGATTTTTTTTTTAACCCCCTCCCCAGAAATGAGCCAAGGCCTTGGCTGCTTTTGAAACTGCACTGCTAGGAACAAGATTTTTGTGAACTTGTTTTCATACACTGTCCAACGGAGAAGATTATTCACTTAAAATGAACAAATAGTAGGGCCTTGCCTTTTCATTAATCTTGGAGTGTGTTTTCTCTTTTTTTTTTTGAAGTATGTTTATTGGAAAGCACTGGGGACAGAGACATGTCAGACACATTACAGGTTCATATAAAACATCTTGTCTAAAGCTTCTATAATGTCATCTAGGCTAACAAAATCAGTTTTTGGTAAGTATTCCCTAATGTGCGTTTTGCTTGTAACAAGGGTGGGTTGTCTTAACAGATATGAGAATGTGTCTGTGCTTTCTTGGGCCTTTGAATTAAAGCAATTTAAAGTTGTGTTTTCTAGTCAGTACAAACTCCTGTCACTCAGATGAGCTGATATGCTGTTAGAGAAAGCCAGAGTGTGCCTGCTGATTGTTGTGGTTGATTGGTGTTCTCTGAGCATCTTTTGCATTCAGAACATATTTTCGTGCCATATTTCTTTTCAGTATGTTTATTCCAATACTCTTGAGTCATATGGTGGTTATTACTGCACTAATAGCACTAAAATAGTATCTCGTTTTGTGAGTAGAGTTATGATGTTTCTATAGTGTCTTTATAGTGTCTTATTGCTTAGGTTTGTTTTTTTAAAATAGATCTT